GATGGCGGCGCGGGTGTCGCAGGGCCCGGCAGCCCGCGGGCGCTCTTAGGCCGCGGCCCCCCCGCCCCGCCGACCCCGGGCGGGCTCCCAGCCGCCCCGGCCCCTCCCGCCCTCCGGCAGCGGCGGCCGGCAGGATGCTGCCCTCGCAGGAAGCCTCCAAGCTGTACCATGACAACTACGTGCGGAACTCGCGCGCCATCGGAGTGCTCTGGGCCATCTTCACCATCTGCTTCGCCATCATCAACGTGGTGGTCTTCATCCAGCCCTACTGGGTGGGCGACAGCGTTAACACGCCCAAGCCCGGGTACTTCGGGCTGTTCCACTACTGCGTGGGCAGCGGGCTGGCGGGCCGGGAGCTGTCGTGCCGCGGCTCCTTCACCGACTTCAGCACCATCCCCTCGGGCGCCTTTCAGGCGGCCGCGTTCTTCGTGCTGCTCTCCATGGTGCTGACGCTGGGCTGCATCACCTGCTTCGCCCTGTTCTTCTTCTGCAACACCGCCACCGTCTACAAGATCTGCGCCTGGATGCAGCTGCTGGCAGGTACACACTGGCACCGGGAACCACCGGCACTGGGAACGCCGGCCTGCCCCGGGCCTGGCGGCGGGGACGGGTGGGGAGAATGTGGGCAGCGCTGAGCATGCGGCACCCTGGGATCCCCCGGCAGTGGTAGTGGGGTCCCTGGCTGCAGGGAACAGCAAGGTTGCTCAAGGAAGCTGGGCTGAGTCCAAACATAGCAGGGTCGTGGATCCAGGATCCAGCCCCACAGTTTCTTGGGACACCCAGGCCAGGTGCTGGTACTGACAGATGAGTGGGAATGGGCACGCGTTTGGGACGCTGGCACCGAGGGCTCCCTGGTATCCCCTGGCCATGAGGAACACAAGGGCTGCTCCAGAAAGCTGGGCTGGGTACATGTACTTTGTGTCCATAGGGCATCCCAGCCAGGAGCTGGCCCTAGGACTTCCCAGGCCTTCCTGGGACAAGCAGGCCAGGCACTGGTACTGACAGAGCACCACAAACAGCTGCTGGCTTTACGCTCTGGCACCTGTGTCCCCAGGCAGAGGTTGGCCACAGGGACCATTGGGATCACTCCAGGAAGCTGGATGGGTACGAACACTGTAGGGCCATGGGTCTTCTCAGCCAAGAAATGGCCTCAGGACACTCCACGGCTTCCTGGGACATCCAGACCAGGCACTGGCACCAGGAATGGTCACACCTGCTCGGGGTACTGGAGCCTGGGATTCTCCAGGCAAGGTCTGACCCCAGAGAAACATAAGGCACCCTGGGACACAGCCAGAGAGCTGGATCAGGGACCCACTTCAGGTGACCCCAGAACAGGCACCAACCCTGGGACACCCGGACAGTCTGGATGGTCTGGATCCCTGGGCTAGGGACCCACCTTGGGGCACTTCAGTACACCCTGGTCAAGGACCAGCATTGGGACACCCTACAACATGGCCTAGGACACACTGGATCATCCCCCTGAATCCCTGGGGATTCAGACACCCCAGCACACTCCACATCAAGGACTAGCCTCCCGGTCAGCCCCAGAGATGTGGGGTTTTCTCCAATAGATTCTTGCTTTAGGGGAACACTCAGCCCCCAAAGGGACCCCACCACTGAAAGAAGCCCATGCATGGATCCCCCATCCCTGTAAAAGCACCCTTCAGTTCCCCCTTAAAGACATATTGTACCAGGCCCCCTCTCTCCTGCGCTATGAAAGGGCTGTGAGGATAGAGGCCTCCCCTGCTCTCTCCAGTGCTTCCCACAGAGGCACACTATACATTTCCCTTGATGTCTCCCCAGACATGACCACTCAAGCCCAGTAATTAACCACCCCCCCACCAAAGTGACCCTGTCTATAGATCCTCCTTAGATCCCTCCACAAATGAAACCCCACTGTAGATGTACCCCAAGACCTTCACAGACTCGCTCCTCAAAGTGACACTCTATAATAACCCAGACCTTTCCCCACAAGGGGACCTGATGCCTATATTGATAAGGATCCCAAGTATCCCCTTATGCACAGACTTCCCAGGTGTCCTCACACAGGGTCTGTCCTTTTGGGAGAAAGATCCTGAGGAATGATGTTGAACTTCTATTGGTAGCAAGACCCTTCACTTCCTTCTCTGCACAGTTTTACACAGGTGTGGACAAACACTTACTCTCCACTGCATACTAAGTTTGAATAGACCTAGAGCTTCCACTGGAAGGATCTACAGTGCTCCTTATTCCTAATGGAAGGACCTTGTTCATTCCTTCTGTGAGAGGGGCCCCAGTCCTTGATGTGGAAGGATCAGCCCCTCTGTGTGAGGACCTTTCAGCTAGCCCAGCTCTTTCCCTTGCAGCTGGCTTGGGCTGGAAAGCCTGACCTCCCCTTACCCAGATCAGGACCACAGCCAGACCTGGAGCTGCCTTGGCTTATCAGGAAATTCCCTCATCTTTAATTTTCCCCGTCCTGAAGATTTATCAGTTTAAAGTAAGCTCAGAGCCCAAATCCTACTGATTGTCGGCAGCTTAATCAAGTGGCATGGAGTGCCCAGCTGCTGCTGCTGCTGCACAGGGAGCTGTGTGGCAGAGGGCACTGCACTGGAGGCAGCCCTGGGTCTTCTCCCCAGTGCCTCCTGTCCTGTCCTGGCTCAGGTTTGGGTGGCCATGACAGCACTTTGCTGTTGTCACCTCTGGGTACCTTTCACCTTGCCTTGGGGCTTATCCTTAGTCAGACTTTGCACCTTGTAATTACACATGTTGCTGAAAACTGCATTTGTGGGAACCCTGAGTGCTCAGCTCAGTGGGGCCATGGGCTGGCTCTTCTGGCCCCAGCCAGCCCAGGTTGGCTTGGAGCTCTCCCAGAGCAGCATGGCTCCATGGCTTCTCTGTCAGGGAAAGTCCAAGGCACCATTAACAGAGACTGGCCCTCCACCCTACCCTGAGACAGGACAACATGAGAGAGCTGCTGTCCTACAGGACAGGCTGATGTTCTCTTCAGGGAGGGCCTGGATGCAGAGGTGGTGGTGTGGTGTGTCCCAGCAAGACAGTCTTGTCTGGCAGGGGTCAGGCAGAGCCAAACTTCCCTGGGAATGTCTGAGGCAGCCACAGGTGGATTGTTACCTTGTGCATGGAGAAGGAGCTGCCATGACCTATGGAGAGAGTTCCATAGGCCAGATCTTATGGGTAAGGCAGAAACATAGCCCGATGCAGGCTCTGGCACATCATTATGGCAAACTTCAGAGGTTCAGCTAGCTGGGAGGTTGGAGGATTCTGTCAGAGCTGAGAGTTTGGAGGAGCAGAGAAGGAAAGGAAATTCCTCCTGCCTCAGTGAGGGTTTAGCTGAAGGACTTGCTCTACTACAGCAGAAGCAACTGTGAGGCCCAAAGTCACTTGGTCTCACTGGTGAAAGCCATGTGAGGCAGGTGATGGGCAGAGAGATGGAGCAGAGGTGTCCCCACCCCATCCCTGTGGGATGGCCAGTGCAGAGTGAAGGGCTGCTGATTGTGGGCATGGATGGGCTCTTAGAGGAGCAAAAACAAGTGCAGGAATGTGGGGGAGGAGGATGAGGAATTCAGGATCTCTTTCAAAAAAACCAAAAAAAACCAACCAACTTTAAATCATCGATGTCTAATTAG